CCTTTCCCCCGGGGGCAAAGCCGCGGGCCCCAAATTTGCTTCCCCAAGAGCCCCCCCCCCCCCCCCCCCCCCGCCTTCCAGGAGCAAGAACAAGAGCGAGAAATAGAGATGGAGAGGTACATCGACATGTCGTACTTGCGCGACGGGGAGGAGCCGACGAGGTGGGCCTTCTGCTCGCTCGGCCAGAGCCGGCGGGCGGACGACGCGCCGTCGGAGGAGCAGCCGCGGCCCGCGCCGCTCGTCGACGGCTCCTTCTACCCGGCCTCCGAGTTTCGGCTGCACGCGCGCGCGCCGCTGCCTCTGCCGCCCTACCTGCACCTCTCCCGCAACCACTTCAACCTCGAGTGGACGGGCGAGCGGCGGCTGAAGAACGCCGTGATGGTGCTCGAGTGGGTGCCCTCCGTCGCGAAGATTGCGCCACTTCCCACCGGCGCGGTCGCCATGACCGAGGCGCAAAAGGCGCGGCTCGCGTCGGCGCTCAAGCTGCTCGACGTCGACTCGACGGGGCTGTACGAGCGGAGCGCGCTGCGGGAGGCGCTCCGTTCCGCCGAGGACTTGCAGCTCTCCGACGCCGAGCTGGACGAGCTCGTCGAGGCGTACGGCGCCGACGGCGGCGCGAAGCCGCCCTCGGTGCTCTCGTACGACGTGCTGCATGAGGTGCTCACGTCGGGCCGCTACCGCCGCGCCGAATCGGGGCGCTACTTCGTCCTCCTCTCCCTCGCCGAGGCGGAGACGGTGCGCGCCGTGATGCACATGCGGCAGGGGCGGCCGCTCGTCGACGGGGCGGACGTCGCCCTCCGGCTGCGCTGCCTGTCCGCGCACGACGCGATCTTCGACGCGACGGAGAACTTCCCCGAGACGCCGCGCTACCAGGCGAGCGTCTCGCAGCACGTGTTTCGCTTCTTCGACTCTGCGATGCACTTCAGGCCCGCCGAGCTCAACGTGCTGCTGCGCGAGATCCCCGCCAAGCCGTCCGCGCGCCGCCTCTTCTTCACGGTGGTGGTGGCGTGCCGCCGCCGGCTGCGCAAGTCGTGGCAGCAGACGCCGCTCGCGAAGCTCTTCACGCTCGAGGACGAGTGGTCGCTGCTCAAGCTTCGCGCGCAGGTGACGCGCACGCGCGAGGCGATCCGCAAGCGCGGGCTGCTGCTGCACGACGCCTTCCTCAAGTTCGACTACAGCCGCACCGGCATGCTCTCGCTGCCCGAGGTCTACGGCGCCTTCGAGTGGCTCCGCATCCCGGTCACTCCCGAGGAGGTGCTCTTCTTCGTCCGCTCCGTCTCGGCCGACGACCACGTCTCCTACGCCGACTTCATGGAGCTGCTCTGCCCGCCCGCCGAGGAGGAGGAGGGGTGGCAGGACCTCTTCGCGGCAGAGGCGGACGAGGGGGGCGACGAGGCGGCGGCCCCGCCCGGCGGCGGCGCGCCGGTGGCCGTGAAGCGGCAGCTGAGCCGCGTGACTCCGAAGGGCGGGGGCGAGCTCGTGCGGCTGGCGCAGCAGCGGGACCGCGAGGAGGCGGAGGTGGAGGCCGAATTCAGGCGGCAGCTGCGCCTCATCGAGGACGCACGCGCCGAGCGGGACAAGGAGATGGTCGTCTCGTCCGACTTTTCGTGGCTGCGCAAGACGCGGCTCGAAGGCAAGCCCGCCCCCCGTCACACGCCGCCCGTGGAGCGGCGCTTGCTCTTCACAGACACATTTCGTTGAAGCAGGCAAGCCCCCCTTCCTCGTCACGCGCCACGCGTGCTTCTACGACTGCACTCGAGGCCGCGAGGGGGAGGAGCGCGGGCTGCCGACCGGGCTCGAGAGCCGTGGCAAGGCGCGGTACGCGAGGCAGGGCGAGGCGCGCGTGCCGTGCCTCAAGCTGCCGAGCCTCTCCTTCCTCGTGTGCCGCGTCCCCTTCTCCAAGAATGGCGGCGGCGACCACCTCAACGCCTTCACGCTCACCATGCGCGCGCAGACACGCTCGAGGAGAGGCTACCCTGCGACACTCACCACGATCCCCGCTCTTCTTGCCCCCCAGGCACGTCAAGGTGCTCGACGAGTTTCCAGAGCACGTCTACTCGACCGCAGGCTGGGACTCCTGGTCCAAGCTGCAGGAGGGCGACGCCGAGGCGCAGCTGTGCGTGCAGGCGGCGCACGACGGCGGAGGGCTGCTCTACGCGCACGACTGCTTTGGCGACGCGGCGGCGCCGCAGCTCCGGCTCGCCGAGTGGTCCTCCGTCTCCGCCTCGGTGGACCTCAACCAGGGCGAGATGCGCGCCCGCATCAGCGGGCGGCCAGAGGGCGCCGCTCACGGGCCTGGCCGTGAACAGGCGTGATGCACACCTACATCGACGGGCAGCTCGCCGCGACGGTCAAGGGGGCGCAGCTGTCGCGCGACGGCCAGCACGCGTGCAAGCGCCGGCTAGCCCTCTTCTGGGACAAGGAGGCCGACTACAACCCCGGCGCATTCGTGTACGTGCGCTCGGTCGCCGTGCACTCGCTCGCGCTTGACGCGGAGCAAGTGCGCAAGGAGCACGCGGTGCTGCACCAGCTGCTGGTTGAGGACGCCATCGCCTCGACGCCCTCCTTCATGCAGCAGCCGCTCACGGCGTCGCACGCCGAGGCGCCCTTCGCAAACACCAGGGCGGTGCGGCGCAAGCTGACGGCGCTCGTCCGGCGAGGCTTCGACCTCGGCACCGAGGCGTGGCGGCTGCTGCAAGCGCACGGCGAGGCGAGCCTCAAGTCCTTCCAGCAGCGGCTCGAGCCGTCCCAGGCGCCGAGCCCGCCGCCGGGCGGGGCGGCGGTGGGACGCGTCTCTTCACGCCTCGTATGCTGTCAACAGGTCGAGCTCCTTGGCAAGTGGCGAATCCGCAGCGCCGGCGGCGCCGTCGAGCCGCGCGACGAGTCGACGCCGCCCTTTGGAGAGACGCTGGCGCACGCCTGCGGCTACGCCGGCGCCACCGGCCTGCTCAGCCGGCTGCTCGCTTCGGGGGCGAGCGCCGACCTTGTGCGGCGGCGAGGCGTCGCTTCGGGCTTCACCGCGCTGCATGCCGCGGTGGCGGGCGGGCAGCTCGAGGCGTGCGCGATGCTGCTCGCGGCGGGGGCCAAGCCGAACAGCAGCTCCGCGTCCCGCCGCTCGGCGCTGTGGACGGCGTGCGTCAAGGGGCACCGCGAGGTGGCGCTCCCTCCTCGTCGGTCTGCGCCCTCGGCTGCACTTCGGCTCATCTCGGCGGTCTCGCCTCCCAGGTGGCGCTGCTCCTGGTCGAGCACGGCGCCGACGCTTACGCCGCGCCGCACGGCGCCGGGTTGCCGGACGCGCTGCTGTGAAGAGCGGTCTCTCCACAACTCGAGCTGTGAACAGGCGCCGAGTCGGCAGTGGACGCCCTGCGGCGCATCGGCAGCAAGGCGGCGATGGCGCTGCACGCAGAGCTGACGACGGAGCCTGCGGCGGTGTGTGAGGTCATCCCGGGCGGCGAGGGCGACGGCGAGGAGGAGGAGGAGGAGGGCGAGGAGGAGGAGGGTGAGGAGGAGGAGGCGGAGGAGGAGCTCGCGGCGCGGAAGGTGCTCGCCGCGCAGCAGCAGAGCAGGGAGGTCTTCCTGCCGTCGGTGCACCCGCACCCGCTCGAGCCGTGCTACCGCCGCAGCAACTACTGCGATGTCCGCGGACCCGGGTGCAAGTACGCGCCCACGATGTACACGTGCACCGAGTGCGTCCCCGCGTGGGACATCTGCCAGACGTGCTTCGACAAGGCACCGCGCGACGAGGCGGGCCCGAGCGCGGTCAAGGACAGCCTGGCCGACCTGCTGCACGAGATCTCGCTCGCGACGCACGACGAGGAGGGCGGCGACGCGGGCGAGGACGACATGGGCGACGCGATCGCTGAGGAGGACGACGAGGACGTCGACATCAACCAGCTCTTCCGCCAGGCGCAGGCGCAGCGGCACGCCGACTCGATGCAGCGTGACGAGGAGGAGACGGAGGAGGAGGAGTTCTGACCTCCCCGCCCGGACTCTCGCTCTAGCGCCCAGCTCGCCGTTCGCCAAAGCGTGGTGACGCGATCTTGTCTCGAGCCCCGCCGTGCGCCTCGTACACAGAGGCGCTCTACATAGTACGGTGTGTGCGCATGAGCAAAGCCATGGTATCATGGTTTCTACTCGTACTCGACCCTGTTTTGATTTCTGTTTCGTGTGGAGTTGGATGTTTGGTGTCGATTGGCACAGGGACATGTGTGCCTCGTCCCGCGAAGATTCCGCCCGTCGTCACTGACGCGCCGCAACTAGTGTGGGGGGGCAGCACTCGGCGGTCTCAGACGAATGTGGGTGCTCGTCTGGTTGCTTCTCCTGCAGGCGCCCGAACAAAGCCGCGCGCAATACTCTACGACTGGGCGAGAGCTCTCCCGCCGACACGCCTCACGCAACGTGACAAGCCACCGACGGACGCAGATGTTTTGCTCTACGGGGTGTAAGTTTGCCGGCGATGGCGTTTGTGACGATGGGGGCGTTGGCGCTCATTACAGCTCGTGTCTGTTTGGAACCGACTGTGGAGATTGTGGTGTGCGTGGAGCACAGCCGTTGTTGCCTCTGGCGATGCCTCGCCTGACTGAGCCGTGCACGAAAACTACGACTGCGTACGCGTGCTTCACCTACACGTTTGCGACCCTCGTGATATGGAATTTCGGCGTGTACGTAGCGCTCATGGGACTCTGCATGGTCGCCCATCTGTGCTTCTCTTTCTATGGGCTAGTCACGGCCGCAAAGCTATCGTGGGTTTCATTCTTCCTGCTCTTCCTCGGCCTATGCATCTCTCTTGCGCACGAATCCTCTCAAGGCGTGCAGCTTTTGCTTCTCGTCCTCCTCTTCCTCCCCTTCAACCTCTCCCTCTGTTGGTGTGTGATCATGGCGGACGAGGTAACACACACTCTGCCGCGTGTGGATCGCAGCCAATCGATTCAGCAGCAGATCGATTTCTTCACCTTGGTCCTCGGTGGATCACCATCCGCACCAGCCGCGCTAGCCGCGGCAGGAGCGCCACGGGTCAGGCAGCGGCAACTGTACGAACGGCAGGAGCAAGAACGTGTGCAAAATCAGGAGCGGCGGCGAGGCACGGAGGAGAAGGCCCTGGCGGAGGGCGTGGGAGCTCAGTCCCAGGGGCAGGCGTTGCCTCGGGTGGCACACGGGTACGAGGCGCCGCCATCTTCCAGTCGCGCGTGTGCACTTGTACGTGCACTCTCGCACGTGCCGATGGCGGCGGCGAGGGCGATTGCCCGCGTGCTATCGCGAGGGCGGATGGAGGAGCAGCAGGACGATACAGAGACCGCCGTCGGACCCGTCGCCGTCCAGCTCCGCCAGCTGCAGTACCAATTGTAACGATACGAGATAGCGAGAGCCGTGGCGTAGCATGATTGGGGGGTCTCTTCTCTCTAGAATAGGAGGAGCATGCTATAGAAAGAAGGAGTCGGCTAGCGAGAAGGAGCCCGTGTGCGCGTGGACACACGACACTGTGTGATTTTTATTTGATAGCGAAGTGAGAGAAAACTGCGCTGTCCGGACTCCGCTAAACCCTGCAGGCCGTCTCCTCCCCCTCTCCCCTCGAATGTCTTGGAGACGTCGGCGAGGCGGAATTTGGGCTGAGTTCCTCGGGCCAGAAGCGCGTGAGCAGGAAGCCGAGCGCCTCCGAAGGCTGAAACTCGAAAGAGCGGGCGGCGCAGCGCGTGCGCACGGCGGTCACCTTGGCGCGCGTGATCGGGTTGAAGGCCTCCTTGGTGAACTGCTCCTTCTTGACGTACGTGCCTACTCGCATCACAGCTACAGCTCCGTGAGGAGACGCCCGGGCAGACTGGTTCTTGCTGACGTGTTGTTGTGCCGAAGCGGAAGAAGGCGGGCTCGCGCGCCCAGTCGACGCCCTTCTCCTCCTTGAGCAGGCGCAGCGCGGCCTGCGGGTCGGACTTGTGGATCAGTTGCAGCCGAGGTGCAGCCGAGGTGCAGCCGAGGTGCAGCTGAGAGATCAGTCGAGAGGACAGCCGAGATGCAGCTGAGATGCAGCGCCCTCCTGGGCGTCGAGCTTGTGCAGCCGCGCGGGCGGAAAGTGCGCCTGCGCGAGCATCGAGATGGAGTTGCGCCTGCTCTCGGCGAGCACGGCGTGAGGCAGGTGCCGTCTGCAGCGGCGAGGTGGGGTGGTGGAGTGAGGCGGGGTGGTGGAGTGCCTGCAGTCGAGCAGGGCGCGCCACCGCATGTACTCGACCAGCCTGGCCTGAGGTGGGGTGTTGGGCAAGGTGAGGAAGGTGAGAGGCGAGGTGGGTTG